TAGCGGGTGGAGGAGGGGAACCATAGCGGGGGCAGGAGGGGAACCATAGCGGGTGGAGGAGGGGAACCATAGCGGGGGAGGGGGGAACCATAGCGGGTGGAGGAGGGGAACCATAGCGGGTGGAGGAGGGGAACCATAGCGGAGGGGGGGGGGGACCTTGACACACACGCGTCCCGCGCTCACAAAGAGAGAACCCACAAACAGCAGCGAGCATCATCTGTTGCCCGGTGGATTCCCAGCCGTGGCCCCTCCCCCTCCGCGCTCGCCGCTGATTGGACGGCCGCCACCTGCGCTGGACCCCTGCTGACTCGAAAGCACAGCTGACGAGGGGAAGTGGCATCACGTCCTCCCCCGTGTTGTGGAGCGTCCGTAGCCTGTGAGGTCGCCGTCCTCACGCCTCCTGGTGTCAAAGCGCTGCGTCGTGGTCTTCGTCATCAGGAGGAAGGCTCCTCCTCGCTGACGCAGATGCAAAAAGATGCTTCTACTGTTTCTCGCTGCTGAGAGTCGCGCTTCCATCGCCACGACCTCATTATGAGACATCCGGGCGAACGCTTCCCTCAATATACGTCTTTGGTTCCTCACTTCGCTCTGAGGCGTTCAGACTCGGCAGGTCTCACGTCTCTTCATTCCATTACTAATAAATTCATCTGTCTGAGTTATTAGCTGATATCAGCTGAACCTAAAAGAATCTAAAACCTTCTGACCTCGAACAACAAATGTCTTCAGTTCCCACAAATCAGCGAGCTGAAGACGTCCACTTGTCCCCCACATCGTCTACGAGGAGAGAAATAAAGACACAAAGCGAACGCCGACACGCCGCCTTCCTTCAGCTGGAGACCCAACTGGACTTTCCTCTCCTCGAACATGAGGAAGAGGAGGAGGAAGAGGACCCCCAGCGGCTCACGGGGGGTCAGACGACGGGTCAGAGGTCTGTCTCTCGTTGTCCACGGTCACGTCCACTCTCGCCGGTTCTACTCAGAGCTCCATCAGCTGGTCCTTCGTCTGCTTCCTCTCCCTCTCTGATGAAGAGGAGGGATGTCCTTCCACCGCCTCCACGGGGCTGCAGAGAGGCCTCAGCGTGTGTGTGGGGAGGGGGTCTGCAGGGTCTGCAGGGTCTGCAGGTTCCATTAAGAAGATGTCTCCACCCTGTCCTGGTGCTCTTTGGACTGTTGACGTGCCGACAAGGCGCTATGTTGCTCTCCTCGTTTCTCACTCTGCCGTCCCGACACGGAGAACACGGCGCGTCACCTGGAGGTGTGAGGAAGGAGGAGCAGGTGAAGGTCACCGCCGACATCTCGCCTGCAGAGGTGCTGCTGTGCTCCTGGATTCAGACCCCGGAGGAGAGGAACCGCGTAGAGCTGCAGCTGCTTCTGTCATTGTGGCGAGGGGCAGTGTTTGCTCAGCTGGACCGGAGAGATCCTCCAGATAACGTTCATGTGGTGAACAAACCCATCAGCAGATACGTGATGCGCCACCTTCAGTCCACATCTGGGCAATGGTCCTTTGAAGCGGTCCGTGAGGAGCGGACGAGCCGGCTGAGTGTGAGCGAGTATTTAATGACGGAGCTGAAGCTCGTTCACTGTGACGCCTGAGCTGCTTGGTGGGCGAGTGAGGAACACGGAATGTTTACGGAGGTCCTGATGTCATGATGATGAACGTGGGAGTGAAGGAAGCTCAGAGCGTCTTCGTGGTTTCTAGCTTCTTGCTGCTTTCTCTGTAGTGACCAGCAGGGGGCGACTCCTTCAGGGAGGGACACGTTGACAACAGACCATAAAGCATGGGATGTCTTAGGGCGGGGCTACACTCGTGATTGACAGGTCCCTACCACGGCGTTGTCTGGTCTTGGAGTGTTTTCATCTTTCATCTAAAACATCTTCCACACATACTGGGACAGACGGTTTATGTCCAGGCTTCAAAGTACCACTACGTGTACTTTCATATTAAACCCATTTGTTTGCCTGAAAGAAAACTGGGCCGACCGTTATATAAATTATATAACGTTATATAAATAATAATTCCCGTTCTTAAGTTACAACTCCCCAACAAAGATGGCGTCCGCTGCCGGGAGTCCTCCAGGACGACTGGACGGGCGGATGGATCATCTCAGATTAGAGGATCTCCAACAAGGAGAAACCTTTTATTGGCTGCGTTTGTTCGGATGCTTCCAGCTGGCTCTCTTCCTCCGTCACGTTGAGCTCGACCTTCGTCTTCGTCACCAGCTGCTGTTAAACGGTTATTTTACTCTGCAGATGTTTTCTTCATTTCACACCATTATTTTGGAAATGATTTTAGGAAAAGTAAAAATAACACGAGTAAAGAGCTTGTTGGGTTTCTTCTTCTCTTGAGGACGATGAGCGAAACGCTGAGTCACAGAAACAGACGCTTTATTGTGAAAGGCGCCGAAGGGGAGAACCTTCATTCATGTTCTACCCTTTAAAACTGTGGCTTTCTTTTGCCTCCCATCATGCACCTGGATGCGTCAGTGACCTCTGACCCCCGGGGGCTCCTCTCTGATTCCGTGTCTCTGTGTGTTTCAGGTCTGGTGAAGCTCGGCATCCACTGCGTCACGTGTCAGAAAGTCGCCATAAAGATCGTCAACAGAGAGAAGCTCAGCGAGTCGGTTCTCATGAAGGTGAGACGTGTGCGTGTGTGTGTGTGTGTGTGTGTGTGTGTGTGTGTGTGTGTGTGTGTGTGTGTGTGGGAGGGAAGAGGGGGGGGGGGGTTGCCCCAGCAGCTTCCCTCAAATCCCCCCAGCCGTGGTTTCGTCTTGGAAGAAGCCCAGGCCTTGTTGTCATGGCAACAGGCGGCTACTATTGCCTGGAGCTCAACAGCTTGTTCTACACCCAAACATATCCTCAGAACCTATAATGAAAGACTAAAGAA